TTTTTTTTTTTTTTTTTTTTTTTTTCTTTTTTTTTTTTTTTTGGTCCTGCGCCTTTGGCCGGGTCATTTTCACATTAGCCCTCAGCGAGAACAGTTGTTGCTCAGGAGGCCCCGCATTACATAATGGGTTAGCCCGTGTAGATATTAGTAATGTTGTCCCCCATCTGGCCTGGACATGGGGGAAGTATTTGAGAAAGAGTGATAGAGTTTATAAGAAGCCAGAGCCTTGGAGGTCCTTCTCCCCGGACTCTATTTGAAATCTGAAAATCTGATTCCTTTCCTGTTGTCTGTCCCTCAATTGCAACCCCACACCAGCCAGCTGCAATCACAAAGGAGCAGCTTGCTTCTTTAACCTCATCAATCCAGAGAGTCAGGGTCTCACTACAGGGAGCTCAGAGATGGAGACTTATGACTTCAGCCTCAGTTCCAGTTTACTGGGGGCACAAGTTCCCTTTAAGACCCCCCCCCCCCCCCAAGAGACCTTGTCCATGAATCATGAGGCCCCCCACTGCATTCCCCTATTTATACTCGCGCCCAATTAAACAAATTTAAAAATAGTAAAGGGCCACATCTTCCATCTTCCACACCGTGTGGAATTGCTCCCCATGCTCCTGACTTTCAATTGTGTCCCCTCTTTTGGGAAAGGATCTAGTTTCATCTCTAGATGGATCTTTGTTGCGTCTTTACCCTTTGACATAATAAACTGTCAAAGTGACAGATTGGGGAAATGGGTATGTTTAAGAAAGAAGTGCTGAAGTCAAGTGAAGTCATTTACTATTGTTCTGTGCACAGTTCACAAATCTCAGTGAATTCTGAATGAGTCACGTTTTTATTTTTGAGGCGCGTAATTGTGGCCTGTGTGCTAACAGAAACACTGCAGGGCTCATATACTGTGCATGTAAGTTCAGTATTTAATGAGAGCTGTAAACGGCTACTGCATCAACATTTGATTTCACAGAGTCTGACTAATGATTCACGTCTCACCTTCCAGACTGTCTTGGTTAAGGAATCACTGTCCAACCATTTGGTTTGTGTCGCTGGAGAGATGTAATACCGTCATCCATCACCGTGTCTTAATTCCTGGTTTATTGCTCAGTTTAACATTCCATATTATTTAACATGAACCCATCATAGAGGATTTGTGTTTGAGCGTTCCAGCCCTGCTTCTTCCATCTCGAGCTGGAGAGTCATCACAGGCTTGTCACGACACAAACCAGATGCAGCAGATCAGCTATTCTGGGATTGTTTTTCCAGCCCGCCGCTTTGCTAGTGCTCGAAAAGTGCACTCTCATCTAAAATAGCCCCCGAGTCTGGAAGAGATGCATTGTGTGTTGCCGTGCTTTTGGCACAGTCGACCCTGGTCAGACTGCTCTCTGATTGGAGATAAGGAACTTCTGTTTAGGGAGACCACCGGGCTTCTGTCTTTTGTTGTGATCAGACCCAAAAGGAGGACATAATGTTGTTATTATTGGTTAGAACTTGATATTAATATTGTGTACCAGGTTTGATCGGATATAATAAATAATAATGATAATAAACAATAATCAATTTGATTTAATAGCACCTTTCATGGCACTCAAGGTGACCTGACATCACTTAGGATTAGTAATAAAACAATAAGTAACAGCACCAGTAATAGAAATCAATTAAATTAATTAACAGGACAATCAACAACGGAGCATAGTTCAGCAATGAGTTAACACTCTGAAGCCGACGGTCTTAAAGCGAGAGTGAGGTGGCTGAGTAATGCTCAGTGAGGTTAGCCAGTTAAAACTAGTACGGCAGTTTTGGAAGGGGTCCCATGACCTCTCACCTCATGGTATGTGAGTGAAAACGGGGTCCATGGGTACCCACGAGTCTCCCCTTGATAGACACGCCCACTGCTGATCCCATGCCGTTTTGTGCATGTAGTGTAGACGTGTTTCTTTTCTAAAAAGGTGTATTCGAATACTGGATGATTTGCATATTGCATGAATTAGGTATGACTGGAAAGATTCTTGTGGAATCAATGAGCCCGTTTGTATTAATATGTGGGGATGTTAGTCTCCGTAGTAGTGAGAACATTGACGTCGCTGTATAAAATAAAATGCTGTGACTTCTAGAATAATCGCAGCTTCATAAAACTTTAGAAGCTGTGTGGCTTTCCTACGTGTACTGACAATGAGGGGTTTCTGAGCAGTTTTCACAACACACAAGTACTTGCCATCCAATCACCGAAAAATGCAATTCCTGCAGAAATCTCCAAATGTTTTTTCTGTGGTGTTCATCGAGGTATTGATATGGTATTTTGAGTGGAATATATATATTTTTTTAAATTTAGCACCAAATCTGTGTAACAAATCGTATCGACCCAAAAATTGTTGCAACAACTTAATTACTACTTTTACACTTTCACAGTTTCTTTCAATTAATCTTTGGGTTCCCAGCTTTCAGATGGCATATACCACGTCTATGTGACATTTACTGTTGACCTGCCGTCTTCCTCTATAGATCCCCCGTCCCTCCTTTTTAAAAGACAAAAACTGGGTCATGTGGGTCTCTAACGGCTCAATACTGGAGTATAAATCTTGGCAAAATATCAATATTCAATTGATACCATGATATGAGACTAAATATCTTAGATTTTGGATATTGTAAAATTGCAAAAGTGTTATCTTTTTGGTTTGTCTGGGTTTTAAAGGCTGCATTACAGTAAAGTGATGTCATTTTCCAGACTCTTCTATTATTTGCCTCTATTATATCCACATTACAAATAATTATTCATCAAAAATCAATATTGTTGCAATATTGATATTGAGGTATTTGGTCAAAAATATTGTGACATTTGATTTTCTCCATATCGCCCAGCCCTATCGTACTATTATACGGTGCAGTTGTTGCAGTGAAAGAGAGTAGGCCAGTTTAAAAGGATTCCAGGATACCAATGTGTGGAGGAAGTGAGTACCAAAGTTTGGGTGCAGCATAGGAGAAGGCCCTGGCACCCATTGTGATGAGGTTGATGGCTGGTGAAGACTGCAGGAGAGAGGAGAGAGACAGGCAGTGCACCCCATAACATACGAGGTTGGTGACGAGTCGTCTCTGTAAAATGGGACCCTCAAGGAACAGAAGACCAGACAGTTTATAGAACAGATACACAGGTTTAGGGTAGCTTGAAATGTATATCAACGCACTTTCGTATTTTCTCATTTGGCACGAAAGGAAAAGTCGGGTGTGATTATGTTGTGGTCAGAATTTCATGGTTATGGTGTTACGCCCAATTCATCATGCATATCATGAGAGCTGTTATGGGTTGGCTCGGCCCTCACCGTCTATAGCTTGATAATACATCCTGACGTGATACAGAGAGAACAAACAATATTATTTTCACAAAGTGTGTGTGTGTGTGTGTGTGTGTGTGTGTGTGTGAAACCATGCAGTATATTTCAGTAACATCAGGTTGTACTGGGAGACACAATTACAGTAGACAGACACATCTCTCATTTGCCAAAAAATGTTTTTTTTTTTTTTTAGTTTTTTTTTTTAGCTAGTACCTGACAAAATAAATAACTCATAAGAGCTACTCTTCAGTGAGATGACAGGGTTTCCTGGTATTCTGTATGACAGCAAATTGAGTTTTTCGGAGGAAGAGAAGTGCTACCAGATGGGTTTGGGATACTTCACAGCTCGGTCAGTTTGTGCTGCGCAGACAAGATAATTTGTCTTCAATTATGGGCTCTTTCTTCTCACATCAGTCATGTAGCTGAGCACTTGTTGAGCTTAAGTTTATGTGATTCTTCACACTGAGAGCGCTTGTGTAGACGAGTCATAGCAGCCAAGGACTCGTGTCTACACCAAGGCTTATAAGATTATAATGAATAAGTACGGGATATCATCAAATGCGTCGGTGGTTTTCTTTATCAATTATGGTTGAAGGGCATAAAATACCTTTTTATTTTATTTTTTCACCCTTATTAGCGCAATCATTTGTTTCCACAGTGTCTGTCTGACATGAAGCTGTGACTGTTGAGGGCCATTGTAGCAGTCCGATGACTGAAAAGCTCTCTCTCTCTCCTGCTTATCTGGAAAAGGTAGCCTGTCTGGAAAAGTGTGACAAATTGCAGACACACCCTGGGTTAGCTATTGAATGTCACCTCTTTGTGATACAGGTGCGCCTCAGAGCTGGGAACGCACAACAACTCAGCAGTTGCTTCAAAGTGGAGTTTAATGGAATGCAGCGTTTTGTGACTCGACATGAAATCCTGCCTGTCACGCCGGTCTGATTTGGGCTCGTGTTTCTCCCCGCCTTGAAATAGTGTCGTGCTCTATGTTGCGGTGGATAATCCAAGGCTGTACATTCTCTAGGAACTGTTAGGCAAGGCTAACTGCCGTGCCGCAGTGGCTTCTGACGGTTGAAAAGCCAAAATCAGGAGTCTGTCCATCAGGACGTGTAAACAGTCGCATACGAGCTCTATTGAAATGTTGACGAGAGCAGTTCTATCCACAAAACCACCAATCTTGGAATGCGAAAGATATTTTTCTTTACTTCCCCAACATACAAAACAGTACATTTTTCATTGCAAAAAAAAAAAAGGTTTCACAATGTGAATATCCGAGAAAGATGGTCGGTGAAATCTGAGATATAATTGGAGACGGCAAAACAGAAATACACTGCAGACGTATCCACAAACATTGCCGTTTCTGTTTGGACATATATAGAAGTCTAAATCTATTGCTAGAAGTGGGACACTTGTGGTTCGTATTTTTTGCAGCGTGACCCGTGGGGAGCGTAGGAATGCGACCGGTTCTGGGTTTGCCCCCCCACCCCCACCCCACTAAGGCACAGACTGAGGTTCTGTCCCGACTCTCTTCTCTCTAGACCCGGGCAAAGTGGACCTCACTTGTCTGCACACATCTCAGGTTGATGCTGCGTGCTTTCATGTACATGCAGTGCATGTGTGTGTGTGTGTGTGTGTGTGTGTGTGTGTGTGTGTGTGTGTGTGTGTGTGTATGTGAGAGTCAAGCGAGCTGTTTTCACGTGTCAGGTGTCTGTTTGGTCAGAAGGTAGTGTTTAAACCCTCATCAGGACTTTTGCTGCAGTAATGGATGTCTCTGGTCCTCCTCCCTCGAAACCCCCTGCATGTGTGGAAGTATCACGTTACCCTTTACCACTTTCCTTCTCGTGCGCCACTCACCAGAGCATCAGACTCTGATTTGCAGCTAAGAAAACAGCCTGCTTCGGCTTTTTTTTTATTTTTTTTTTTATAACGTCTGAGGTCTTGGACCTGTGGCCTGGCTTGGTCTGCAGCCCAACCTGCCACCATTTATTGGAAGCAGGGCTAAGTGTTTGTTTTCACGGCATTGTTGGGAATGAGAGATGGGGGGTACCTCGGTCTACCTTTGAGTGGGGCCTCTGGGATGCGTGCGGAGGAGAAATTGCCCTCTGCACACAATAGATTGGCAGGCACGCCAAGAGCCAAGACATCACAGCTCGAGGACCTTGGACTCCAGCCGCAGCTTTTCTTTTCTTAAACACAACACTCTTAAGTCTTAACAGCCGTCGTCAGTGCTGCGCTGCGTGGTTTGGGGAATTTCAATAGCAACGGAGGAGAGTTAAATTATTAACTTATTATCATTAACTTTGTACCCACCTCTACAGGGGGTGAATCTAAGGAGGAAATTAACTTTGTTCAGTGTTCTTTTTGTTTGTTTACCTTTTTTAAAGGAGAACATGTTGACTTTTTAACAAATGCTGTTCGTGTGCTATAGACAAAATATCTGGTGCTGCTGTGCTTTTAGATTTAAAAAGTAACATGTTTTACAGAAATAATCCAAACAGAGTCATCTCTTTCAGGTTAGTTTCCATTAAAAGGTGAGGCAAGTTCTCCCCGAGGGTTGTTTGTCTATACTTGGTAGCCAGGGACCAGAAATTCATATATCTTTGGATCTATTTCAACCATAACAATAGCTTGAGGATATTAACTTGTCCATGAAATCAGGCGTGTGTGGAAGTGGGTCTCCCCCATATTCCAAATGTTTAGTAAAGCCTTCCTGTCACGCCTGGCTACTGGCGTTTGTCCATCACCTGGAGAACATCATCCAGGATTGAAGGGCCTAGATCCAGGCTGAATGAAAAGCCACTGTCCGGCTCCTCATGCTGTCTAACAGTTTTGTGACAAGTCTCTGTGGAGTCCTCCTCCCTGTCTGAATTCAGGCTGCCCCGTCCGAGGTTACGAGGCAGATTGGGAGCAACATTATTCCCACTTTTGTACCCGTCCTCCTTTTCCATCTGCGCTTCCTTTTCCTCATTGTCCAGCAGCGGCATAGAGCTGCATTTCTTTCTCCTCTGCGACGTGTTGTTCTTGTGCCGCGTATTCCTGTCGGGGCCCTCGGAGCCCTCGGCCTCATCGAGGTTCAGGCGAGGGGGCTTTGGCGGCGGAGAGCAGGCCAGGAAGAGGTTCTGCTCACTCTGGGAGCTCTGGAGAAGCAGATTGTGGCCCATCTTTAGGAAGGACAGGTCTCCAAAGCTGTCCGTGTGGGCATCGTTGCCAATATGCGAGATGTGGCGGAAATCCGCCAGCGGCAGGCTAATCATGTTGACAGACAGCACCTCCCTGCGCTTGGTGCCCCTACTGAGCCAACGACCAGAGGACGGCTTCCTCTGCAGCGATGTTCTAAGTGGCATCTCTGCAGATCTGGTTGAGATAGACCTGAATGTTTCTGTTTGTCCTTGTTATATATATATATATATATATATATCCTCAGTCTTTATATCCTTTCGTATTTCCTCCTTTGTTCGACAGTGAATCCTCAGGTAGGGCTGAAGCTTATGAACATAACTCCATCTGCATCAAACACAAGAAAAGAGACGTTATAGTTTAGCCAATCCAAGTCTAATACCAAGTTGATAATGCTGCGTTACGAATCCCTTTTTGATAACCGAGGCTTCCCTCACACCATGCTTCAATATTGAGCAGGTCTGTGCTTGCGCTTCTAAATCAGCAACAGATCCAAGTATTCCTCTGAATCAGTCGATGTGAATCGGCAGCCAATCTTTAGAGGTTGCACCTGCTCCACTTGATTTTGATTTATTGAAATTCAATATAATTTTGCGGCACACGGATATTCCAACAATGCTTTGAAGCTTTCATTTCTAAATATTTACTTTTCAAATCCCAGTTTTTTTTTTTTCCCTATAACTGCAAGTGTGGTCTGCAGCCTTTCCTCTAAAGGAAGTCCATCAGCTGACACGAGACTTCCAGTAACAAAAGCAACAACAATTCAGATTCCCAAATGGTAATTTGTTGGCCTAATTGTGAATTGTATCTCTTCACATTTTGTCTTGTTGTTTTGTTTTTTCACAAGGTTTTACCGTAACTTCCATCAGAAATCATGATAACTTGACTTTGGAACACATGTTTCGGATTTTGTGAAAAACACAAATAGCCGGGATGCAGTCGGTTTATGTTGCTGTAGTGTGGAAAAATTATTTTTATTCCATAAATAACACTGTAGGCATTACTAAATTATCTGTTTTGTAGTGTAGTTAGGGGATTTAATATTTTACAAATTTTACATCCACCAGCAGAACTTGAGAGGAAACATTCTTGGTCAAAATGAAACGATACAATAATACTTAAAATGAAAGTCTTAAAAGAGTAATTTGGCGTTCCGTGTGACCTGTAATCATTTTATTGAATAAAACAGAACTTAGTACATCAACTCTGGCATACCGATTAGATAATCTGCCCAGTGTCTGTGATTTTTACGGTCTCCCAAACAGCTTTGCCCACATTAGATCTGTGTTCGTGACTTGAAACACTCACTCTGTAAATTTGTAAGCCACTACAGCAAACACGTTTTGTTGGCCCGTAAAGGTTTTATCGGCACTTTAGTAGCAGCGGGAGGTTGGATAGCGTGGACGCAACAGCATTCCTTTCCAAACATGTCAGTTTGGCCGAGGAGGCGTCTTAGGATTTCAGCCATGAGTATCATGTTCAGGAAACGCTTCATGGCCAAGTATAAATTAAAGAGACCATTAAAACACATTGGCCACGAAGCAATTTTTAAATGGTGTTCCTAAATGCGGCCGTAAACAATCCATCTTTGAGACAGATGAGGAATCTGTCTGATGAAAAAGGTAACCACTAGTTAAAAGAAATTGGTTACAAGGTTTTTCCTTTTCATGCAGTTGTTTGTCTAGTAGGATAAAGAAATACAAAAGGATAAATAAAGACCGATTAGTTCTTACCTGTCTTGCTGAGCAAATCCAGGATGTTTGAATCCAACACATGCACACACGTCTCTGTCAGGAAACTAGGCAGCGTCTACCTGCGCACCCTGACAGACTCTCTCTTGACGTGATGGGGCTTGTTCAACGGTTACGTCGCACATCCTTGAGACAGAGACAGAGTGAGCGACTTTCCCCTACTGTCACAACCAACTCAATGGTAGCATTTAACCGTCAGGTGTTTCTTACCTTTGTCCTATGCTGTTGCTTTGGTGAGTGTTTTCAGTCCTGGGACATTTGAGCCGTCTTTTTTTTTTTTTTTTTTTTTTTTTTTTTTTGTTGCTAATCTTCCCCAGTGTCAACTCCCGTCGTGCATTGCAGAGCACTCCAGGTGTGTTGCCGGTGAAAGTCTTCTTAGTCTAAGAGATAAGCCAGGTGAGGTCAGAGTACAAAAGGCGTTAAGGCATCCTAGCTGGAGGCTTCTCTTCAATTAGTTTTCTTACTTTATATTTCCAGTCATCCCACCTTAAAAAAACAGTTGCCAGCCATCAGATGACATCATCCTGGTTGCGGTGCATGTTGGCCATTTAGTCATAAGTGTTAAGATAAGTCCTGCCGGTTGGTTGGCTGCACCCATTACCCAACTCATTTCAAGAGCTGTTTGTGAGACAAGTTGGGTTTGAATAGGTTAGTGAGTGTACAGCTGTGTGTGTGTGTGTGTGTGTGTGTGTGTGTGTGTGTGTGTGTGTGTTTCATAGATTGTGTGCTTGTGTCTAAAAGGAAGTCATAGTCAGTGAGCAAACAGGTCAGCCCTCTCAGAGGAGGGGGTTAACTGATCTCTAATCTCCACATCATTGTCCCCGTGCTCGGCTGATTTCCTGATTTCCTGCCTGCTGTTGGCACGTCTAAAGCCCCCCAGAGTGGAGCCCACCGCACAGGCCCTTCTGCCTGACTGGAGGCCTATAGCTTCTCTCACACAAACAGACATGTATGAACAGGCACGCTGGGTTGCACAAGACAGATCACTTGTTGCGTTTTCCACTTCTCACGCCTTCAGCGTGTTGTCTTTGCCTTTTGGAATGCTGTACCAACACAGGAATTGAAATTGTGTCAGAACAGCAAACTTCTTTTTTTTGTTCTGCTCTGTGGAATTTGTTTGTGTTAAACATGGCAGGGTTAAAAGCATTTTGTTGTGCTCTCACAGGGAGTAATTTGTATTTGTGCTGATCGTGCCCTTTTGGTCGTCTTATGGTTTGGAGAGATTCTTCTTTTTTTTTTTTTCTTTTTTTTTTTTTTCTCAACTGTGTACGACCTGCTGCATCTCTTTGTTTTAAAGTGAATATATTAAGACAAACATGCCATGCAAGTCTTCTAATGCACATTGTGTTCCAGCAGAAACCAGGTCACGGCTGTGGATCCCTTTGTTCAGAGTCTCAACACTCCTCGTTCATTAAACTTGGAACACGCAGGATGTGAATGAAACGGACAAATCGTATCTTTCACTGCTCCTGCAGTCCTTTCATATTGGTCCAATAAACAAAGGGCGTGCCGCCTGATACTCTTTTGTTCTCCCGCTCTGCGCTCCAGCGCCAGAGCAGTCTGCGAGACCAGACACAATTACTCACGCAAATGAAATTATCATAACATTTACTCAAGACTGAAACAGAACATTTCTCTTCTGAGAAACCCCCTCCTTCTTCCACTTATAGCCACACACAACTGCTACAAGGCAATCAGGGTGAAGTGCTGTTGGAGTGACCTCACGAGACCTTGTGTCTGACCCCGGCTCGGCTCACTCTTTTAGTTCGGTTGTCGTGCTATGTAGCCTCTGGGCTGATGCGTTAAGCCCTAGCTGGATTTCTGTACAGGCTTCTTTTCTAAGGCCTGACCGTAGCGGGCGCTGTGGTTTGATGCAGCTATGCTGGGCCTGAAATCTGGGATGCTGCGTGTTGTCTGTTGTTGCAGGGTAAAAAGTGCTTCCAGATATTGCTTTGACTGGAGCTAGAAGCCCAAACTGAGGCTTTGGTGGATATTCTTCTGGTCCTTTGTTGTGTGTTCTCCAGCTTCCGCCGCATCGAGGCCCTCAGACTGCCCGCATTTAGACTAGATTTGCAGCAAAAACAGATTATTTCGTATGAATTTTTCGACAACGACAAACATAGAACTTACTGTGCTTTTGGAACCGAACAATGAGAGTGGACAGTCGGCTCCTTACCTGAAAGTTGTGCTGTCCTGTCTCTAAAGCTAGTTTCCAGGAGCTACTCTTTGTAATGTTCCGTCCCCAATTCTGGTGAGAACATCCCAGTTTGCGTTCGTCATCACCCTAACCGTTATCATGACTGTTTGTCTGCAAAGTTTTTACGACTCGATGATGATCAACAGAAACTTGGCAGGCTGTTGAGAGGAAGTGCAGTCACTCAGTGGCATGACTGCCTCATGACAGAGATCTGACACCAGCCAAAGTCCAGGTGTTAAGTCATTGAATACCGAGTGCCGACTCATTCCCTCATGACAAAGCTTACAGTAGCCTCTAATCAGCTCAGTAAGGTCACGTCAGGTTCAACACACCGAGGGACGAGTAGGCTGGAAAACAATCCATCATCCATTGTTAACCATTTACAAATGAGCGCCATTGTTCTACAATTGTTCTACAAGCAAGACATCTCAGCATGGTTTTATCTATCGGAGGGGGATTCTGTTGGGCTATGGATGTAAAATACATATTATTGAGGAGCCATGTCTTGTGTTTCAATAAAGGCAGAATTTCCCTCTCTAGAAATGTGTTATTAAAATTAAATAGAGAAATCTTGTGCTTGTGTTGATCACCTTGTAATTCCCGCAGACTTATAAAATGTTGTCTGTGTTTAGAGCTCTCCATTTAGTTTTTCGCGGGATTGAGTTAAAAAACATAATGTACATATGCATAACTCATAACATACCATTTCTTTCCAGTTAATGTGGGCGGTCGGTAATGGCTGGGAATGTACAGCTGTGTCTCCTGGCACTGAATCATGAGTGATTATAACATCATGTTTGGGATATTTAGTTTTATCTGAGGACTGGAGCTCTGATGTAAACAGTATACAGCAGGACACATCCCACTTGCTGTTTGTTCTGCACATTAAACAGCATGTTAATATGGGAACACATTCGTATACAGAAAGCACAGACATTTCAAATTTCATATTTGGAACCTTGACTTAATTTTTTTTTTCTTTCTCCCCTCAAAATTCCTCTTGACATCTCCGAGGTTCAGACTGCATTCTTACCAGTCCTGTGGCCACTTTTGTTGTAACGGGAAATCTTTTGCAATCAGAGGTCTTTTTCCCGGAAGGCCGGGACGTGAAAGACATAATTTTGCTTTTACATCGATTGTATTGTTGGATATTAAAGAGGCCAAGCCCCCATGTCTCCCTATTCTAGGATCCCTGAGCTCATCCATCATAAAGAGAAATGCCAGGGCACCAGGAGTTCAGGTCTTTGCTGCCATTTCTCTTTTCGCTGTTTGTTTCCTTAACTTTTAACAGTTTCCAAAGGCCCTCTCCGTCCAACAGGCTTCTTTTCTGTCCAATACCATGACCACGTACAACCACGCACGCGCGCATACACCCCACTGGTTTAGAAATCAGCTTTGGCTTTTTGTCTATTTTACGTACGGTAAATATTCTTCCCGTTCTCGTTTCAAGGATGGCTGTAAATTGTGCAGCTTGCACGTACAATAACTGTCACAGTCAGTGATTTCTAGATGTATTCATCAAAAACTCACATCATTTGTAGTTCATTGTCAAATATAAGGAGGTCTTGTCTTGGAGTTGAATTCAAAAGCCAGATGTTTAGTACATGTGCCTTAAAAGGGTTAAATACAGGAAGTAGATTTGGGCCTTAATCTGTGTTTAGTGCTTGTCCTTCACTAACAAAAACAGTGTAATAGACTAGACCTTCAGGGTTTTATGCCTGAGCCTTATAGTGAATGATGATTAATCCTTCACCATTTACTAAGCTGGAGTTCTCTCTACAGAGGAATTTCACCTTGGCTCCAGTGTTGCGTGGTGCTGTACCCCTGCCTATTTGTTTGAGTTAGCAGGAGAGCTAAACCCCCCCCCACACACACACACACACACACACACACACACACACACACACACACAC